CACCATCACCATGCAAATATGGGAAAGCACTTTAAGAGATCTGTGTTCCAAGTACAATGTGGTTACAGTCAGGGGGAGGAGGGATGTGTTCTGAAAAGGCGAGGTGGGCAGGGTGGGGGCTGTGGACAAGCACACAAAGGCATCAGTGTGTTATGAGGCCTGGCAGCAGACCACTGCTAAAGGGACGGTCTGTAAAGCCAGGAAGGTACAAGCCTGGCCTGTGGAGGAGGAAACTCAACGGGGGAGGGTTGCAGTTCTCATTAACATCCATACCAGTGTGCCAACTCTGTTTCCTAAGGCATTAACATATCACCAAGAGATTGTCAAACACAATCTTAATGTCACCTGCTCTGTCCTCTGGGAATTAAATAGGTAGCATGCTGAAGATAGAGTCCCAGAGAGATCTCAAGTAAGGAAACTAAGATGAAATCAGTCGAGTGGAGACTCAGGAGAGTGGCTTAAGGTCCATAAGACTGCAGGGGGCCCAACCTCTGGGTGTCCCCTTTGTCCTCTCCATGAGGCTTTGGCTAGGTGATTTCCCAGGCAGCTCACAGGCTCCAGTTCCGAGACTTTGCCCTTTGCTCTTACAGAACAGCCACAGGGCTCTCTGCCTGAGCTATGGACAGTCCCAGCATTTGCTTGATTTCCATCTGTGCCCCAGCCAATGTCCAATGGCTACTAATAAAATCTCACAGTCCGCATTGGGTACCACATCCCTGACTCCTGAATGTACCAGGGTTAAAAGAGGCATCATTTTAGCTGAAGAGGCAGCTACTAAAAAGAACACTGGTGAATGCAGGGTGGGGCTGAGCCCCAGGGTTCCGGTCCATTCTGGGAAGGTACCAGTCCACAGGTTTCCTCCATAATTCAATTATATAGTGCAGTCTTAACATTCTTTTCACAGCAGTATCTCAGACAATAGATACAGAAAGGGCTGTTTCTTTATTCACTGAGAGAATTTGTGTTTCCCCAAAGGGTTCAAAAGGGAGCATAAGCAATAAATCACAAACAACTTGATGTTTTAGGGGGAAAATAGACGGTGTCTGCTCAGAACACTCCAGTGTCTTCCTGTCATGCTCAAGGAAAACTCCTAGCTCCCTTTCACCACCTATACCCCTCTGTTCTCCTCTGTCCTGTGTACTCTACCCAAGCCTCTGATTGCAGCCTCTAATACATGCAGCTCATGTCTCCTGCAGTTTAGTCCATGTGTCACTGCTGTCTGGAATGTTCTCTCCTCAAATCCGGGAGTGGTCGCATCCCACATGTTATTCAGATCTTGTTTAAGTATCACCTCCTTTAGGAGCTTCCCTGATGGTTCTGTTGAAAGTAAGACACCCACTCACCCTCCACACAGAGGCTGGTCTGTTTTACTCTAGAAATTTCCACTGTTTAATATTCTTCTCATAGAATTTGCCGCTGCAATTCATATTATATATTCCCTCAATTACTTTCCTCCATGGGGGACAGGAACTTTGTCTAAGCTACTTTAATCTTCTCCCTCCTAGAAAGTTAAGTGGCCCATGATAGACACTCAAGTGAGTTAAATAGAAAACTGCTGCCTATGCAAAGATAAGGCACAAAGGAGGGGGAGGCTGGAGAGATGGCTCAGTGCTGAAGAGCACTGGCTGCTCCTTCAAAGGACCCTGGTTCCATTCCTAGCAATTACATAGCAGCTCACAAACACACCTAGAGGCAGCCTTAGGGGATCCGATGCCCTATCTGGCTTCTGTGGGCACCAGGCATGCCCTTGGTGCACAGATAGACATACAGACAAAATGCTCATACACATAAAATAAAATGTAAAAATAAGACCCAAATGGAGGGATTTCTCCTCCTATTTGTGAGTTCCTACAACACTCATTACCAAGAGCAGCTTAACATCAGTGGTAGATTTCATTAACATAACAACTAAATATTTAATTCACAACACTAACGGTATATAACAAATATATGAGTTAAAATATATAATAAAACTTACATTGATAATTAAACAAGCAACTATACTTAGTATCATTTGTTTTATAGACATTATTTCATTTAATCCTCACTGTAACCCCAGCAGTATCATTATATTCTCTGTTTTATATTTAAGGAGATGAAAATTGTGAAATTTGTAGAGGTTCCTAAACAAGAGGGTTACCTGATAGGAATCAAACCCTCTAGCTGGAGAACGCAATTTCACAAACACTTAGCACAGGCTTCAGCAAACTGTTTTGCAATGCTCAGGTGGGGTGGGTTAGCCTTGCTCACATTCATCAACAGATGATTCAGCCTGGCTGCTGAAGAAGCCAAACTAAAGCTATCTCCATCTCCTGGGGCCCAAGGCACATCTTCCAGAGAAAAAAGACCTTTGACGCATTGTCCTCCTATGACTGTGTAGTTACAAGTCAGGCTTCCTGCAAACATACTTCACTACTGTGTCTTCAGGGCTGCCAGGATGATCCTTTTACTCACTGTGTTTTATTTGTGCCTAATCTGTGTCCAGAGGACCCTGCAAATTACACAGGTTCAGTTTTGCCTTGAGGCCAGGGAGCAAAAGCCATGACCTGGAAGAGACCTGAACAGGACTATCAACCTCACCCATCGAGGCTCCTGGGGCATTGTGTTGAGGAAATCAGAGCCACAGCCAACCATGGACTCAACTGTAAATGTGAACCCTACACCCAGAAACTACTTTTGTAGGGCATCTTCTCTCCTGTGCTTTTTGCTTCAATCTTTTTTTTTTTTTCAAAAGTTTTAATCCGATGGGAATTTAGAGAGAGAGGCAGGAGGCACAATTGATTCTGGTCCAGCTTAGTCAGGAAAAAAGTAAGCTGCTTTTTCCACCCGAGTCGAACAGTCTGGCTGGAATGCATCCCAACTAGGGGATAGTCATTGAATGCTCCAAGTCCTGAGGCCCAAGGAAAAGGAACTTCTGTCTTCTCCTTCGAGATTCTCTTTCTCTATAGAAATCTCCAAAAGGAACTGCTACACAAATCATGGTCTGTGCTTTACCAGAGAGAAGCTGTTCTTTTTTAACCAGGCTTATCAAACAGTGGGGTTCTTCTCCCGGGGTAATAAGTGTGAGTGGGTTAATGGGTCATTTTGGGGAGAGAGGTCAGAAGGAAAAAGCCTCAGTGTTCAAAGCCAGCAAAGAACATAGTGCTGGGTGGACAGGAATGATATATAGGGACTGTTCTACAGGACCTCCATGCGTTCCCATCTAGCCTTTATCCTCATCAAAGACCGCCAAGGTCTCTTAATGTGTCTGATACTCCTCTCTGAGGTCCTAGTGAGATGTTCTAGGCAAACCTGGTGCTTGTGAGTTCCTTTTCACTGAGGGAGAAATGCATTCCAGCTCCTAGCAGGCTGACTTTGCAAAGTGCTTTGAACACTGAAAGGGGGTGAAAAAGAAAGCAAACAGCCACAGAAAGGGGAAGGGAAAGAGAAAGGAACACAGAGAGAGAGAGTATCAGCAGGGGTGGTTAGTAAAAAAAAAGGGGGGGGTCTGGAGACAGAAAACCTTTTGTTTCCCCAGCTCGTTTCATGTAGAGATTGAGAGGTGAATGGCTTTGAAATGGGTTTATGAACTAGTTGCTGGGTCACAGGAAGAGAGATCGTCAGACGACTTTGTGAATTCGGATTCTTCAAAAAATTTGGGTTAATTTCAAAAGGAATGTATGTCCTTTGTCTGGTTCCTATTTCTTTCCTCTTTAAATTTTTTTATTCCTTTGGCGGGGTGGTTTGGGCGGCCTCCCCACTCTCTGTTTTCTCCTCCGCCTTTTGATAACGTGAAAAGAAATGATCATATTACACGCTCTTTGTCGGGAGTGTTTCAGAAGTTAGAGGTGGGCGGAGTGGAGGCATTACCTTCCCCCCACCAGCCAATGGCGGCGAGGTATGCAAATGAGGGCCGTGATCTGCGGGTCTCAGCCTAAGCGCTGAGCTCAGAGGCTCCGCAGTGCGCGGGAGGCGAAGGTTCTGCTCTCCGTCCTGCGGTGTGCTCAATGGAGCGGCAGACACTGCAGGGCTACACTGTGTGACTAGGATAGGACCAGGGCTCGTCCGATCACTGCCGCGATGAAGTATAAGGTAAGAGTGCCTTTTGCACGAGTCTCCTGAGAAGCTGGGGGCAGCTGTGCCTGCGGGATTCCCACCGTGACAACTGTGCAGGGATCCCTGGTGTGTCTGGTCTCGCTGAGCTGCGTCTGATCTGGTTTCCAGGGTGCCCTGGGGTTTACCCGCAAGCCGACTTGTGCTTTCAGATCTGCTAGCTTGCAACACGTAGCTCTGAAGGTTGCCCCGGAGTAGCGGAAGGCAGTGGAGAAAAGTTAGTGTAGGGGCGGCCGCAGCCACTGGAGGTTAGAGTCGCAGCAGGCAAGTCGCAGGTCACTGCCTGACCAGAGCCGACCTGGGGAGCCTTAATAAGAGGAATCAGAACTACTGAGTCTCTAACGGGCTGAAAAAGCACTTTTTCCGAGTTTGCCTTAAATACTCGATCTGCGAAGCTATCTGCTCTAGGCACTTTCGGTAGAAGCAAACTAAGAACCCAGACACTATCATAGGGCGGATGATGGAGAATTCCAGCATCCTTAAATAGTTCGGTTTTATGAATAAACGAGTGTTAGTCATTTCTGGGTAACACTTTATTGGGGTTTGAACGGGTCTGAAAGTATGAAGGCTCCGGCTGGCTTATTTTCCCTGACGCTTACAGAATGTCGTGCTCATATTTTGGCAGCATTATTTTCCATTGCATTTTGCACCACGGTTTCTGGGGTTACTCTTGGCAAAATGATTATGACTTGCTCAGCACATCCCG